CCAGCTAACTCTGCCCCCCTCCCCCACAGTACATTGCCCAGCTGGCAGATGCGCTGAAGTACTGCCACTCGAAGAAGGTGATCCACAGAGACATCAAGCCGGAGAACCTGCTGCTGGGGCTGAAGGGAGACCTGAAGATCGCAGACTTCGGCTGGTCTGTCCACGCACCTTCCTCCAGGTAAGGGAAACACACTGGGAGGTTGTGTTAGGGGAGGATTGTCTAGATTGTCTTTCTGAAACATTCAGTACTGTGTCTCACTTAACCTTAGACTCTAGTTAGAGTTAGACATACTAAAAAAAGTTCAGGGGTAAATGTGTATGTGTAAGTTTGGGGGTGAATGTGTGAATATGTGTAAGTGAAGGTGTGAGTAAGTCTAAGTTGTAACCCTTTGTGTTCCCCCTGTGCTCCCAGACGTGCAACGCTGTGTGGAACCCTCGACTACCTCCCGCCTGAGTTCAGGAGTGAATGTGTGTGTGTGTGTAAGTTGTAACCCTTTGTGTTCCCCCTGTGCTCCCAGACGTGCGACGCTGTGTGGAACCCTTGACTACCTCCCGCCTGAGATGATAGAAGGGAAGATGCACGATGAGAAAGTGGACCTGTGGAGTCTCGGCGTTCTGTGCTACGAGTTTCTGGTGGGCAAACCGCCATTCGAGGCAGAAGGACACAGCGAAACCTACAGAAGGATTTCAAAGGTAGGTGCTGAGTGCTGCAGACTTGTTCGTTATAGCTGTATTGTAACATAGCCTCATGTACATGACAAAGACTCTTACGGTTGTTGAACAGGTTTTTCTAGTTCTAATTACCTGTATATTGAGTGAACCGTGCTTTTACATGATAAAGCTTCTTACGGACCTTGTTGTTTAACCGTTTTTTCTAGTTACTTGTATATAAGAGTGAATCGGTTCTCTGTTCATTTGTGACGCTGAAGAAGAGTGATGGATGTCACTCGAAACGTCCGGAAATAAAAAAATCCGTAACTGATCCAGTAGTAGAGTTTGAATTTTCTTACGAATAGCCTCATGTAAATCATTCACTGACACTCACACACTATGGAGATCTAAATAAACAAACAAACTCACCAGGGTTCTAACCAGGATTTTTTCACAGCAAAGGGGTCATGTACAGAAGTGCAACTTCTGTGGCGTAAGTCGCGCATTGAGCTGAAAAAAAAGTCATAACACCCTGAGACACTATTCCTCACTTTCTGAGGGACAGATTTTGTGAAGTTATGGTTTTCTCTATACTATAGTAGTTATATGTTAATTTTTTAAAAGATCTATGAAGGTTCTCCAAACAAAAACTACCCCTATGCTGATTGAAAGACAGCTTAGGGATCCAAATCACAGCATAGGGGTCCCCTATGCTCAAAAGGCCTGGCGAGAACACCGTGCTCACTATTCAGTTTACACCTGCAAGAGTTTGAAATGTCTTCACTCTTATGCTGACTGTGTAATGGTTGGAGTTAATTTTTTTGCTTTTGAAGAATTGAGCACAGTTGGTCATTACCCATGGTGCCTTGTTTCCCCAGGTTGACCTGAGATTCCCTCCGCACGTGACCTCCGGAGCCCGGGACTTGATATCAAAGGTACGACCAGCATCAGCTAAATATTAGTTCTGTTGTTGATTGTGCTTTATTAAACTCCATTAGCGACACACACTTGACATTGGTACAAAATCAAGTACTGTAAATGCATTTATGTTCGCGAGGACTTTTTTTCGCCGTATCGGCCAATTTGAGAGTTCGCGAGGGATTTGACTTCACAAATCATTTCTATTTCATTACAAAAGTTGTTGTTGTTGTTGCCTTTGTATATGCATGGTGTGCTGGGAAGGGGGGCGGTATGGAACAAAAGTGTCAAGTCAAGTCAAGTCAAAGCCTTCGCGAGGAGATGACTTAAAACTCTTGCGAACAAAAATGCATTTACAGTATGTAGCTAATCTTCCTGGAGTTAAAGTAATTAACAATAGTACAAATACACTACAATAGTACAAATACACTACATCAAAATTACATTATTTACATACAACATTTAACTTAACATTTAAAAGTAACATCACACGTGCCTATCAACATGTGCCTATGTACGCATGTGCTCTAACAACTCCTGCCTAAAGTAACTAAACCTACTCTTAGTTGCTGCTTGTACCTCATACATTGTCATTTACTCCGCAGTACCTCAATAATCATTGCAGTGTATGATGCCAGGGTAAGGGTCATCGCTGGCCCTGCAACGTAATATAACCTGCATGTTGTTATCTTGGAAGTTCATCTGTGTTGGTAGAAATCATTATGAAGCAAGTTTAAGCTCCAATTTCCAACACAACAAGTTGGACTCGCCCAAATTTTCGACTGTACAACCCCAGTCTTTGTCAAGGAATGAGCAGTCCACCGCTTCCGTGACGTCACTGTCGCAGATAACACACATGACTCCGTGAGCGGTGGATTATAGGTTGCAGAAAGTCTGTGGCGCCCCCCGTCTCTGTCTCACAGGTCTGCATGTTGTTGTTTTTGTTGACAGCTCCTGCGACACAACCCGATGCTACGACTGCCGCTGGACAGCGTTCTAACCCACCCTTGGATAAAGGACCACGCCGCCACCCAGGCCGAATCCACGCCAGCACACCCGACACACGCCCCCAAAACCAAGTCATGATCCACCCAAGTACACCCGACACACGCCCAACACACCACCCAAACACACCCGACACACGCCTCACACACCACCCAAACACACCCGACACACGCCCCCAAAACCAAGTCATGATCCACCCAAGTACACCCGATACACGCCCAACACACCACCCAAACACACCCCACACACGCTTCACGCACCAAGTCATAATAGTATAGCTGCTCATACAAATACTCTCAGCGGTAGTTTCTACCTTAACCACATTGGTTTAGGCAGGAACTTAGGTTGGTGCAGAGGCAGGAATTCCTGATATGGAAACTGTAAAAAAAGAAATCATGGGTTCACCGGGGGACTTTCCTCACCACATTGTAAATTGATGGAGAATCCAAAGTTTAACATTTGTGACTAGAGTACACTTGTGGATATTGTAGGGGAGCATTCGGTTTACTGCTGCACTAGTGGATAATTAGCACTCTTAGTCTCATGTACAAATTAGGGAGTAGAAAGGGTAACATATCTGTAGGAAAATCTAGCGAGGGATTACCATTTGTAACCAAACTTTGTACAGTTCAACAGAGACGTTTGATCAGGATTTGATACTGCTGTACTAGATTTATATTCATCAGATCATTTTTGTCCCTCAGACAATTGTATTATCGGTATAAGCTATGGGAGTCTTTGCACAATATTTCTTCTACAAATAGCAATAACATGATCTAGGATAGTTCCAATCACTAAGAACCATCTAAATGAGACTCTTGCTCTACTGTCAGCTTTCTTCTCACTAAGGACCTCAGGTCCTTTGGTTGAGTCTTCAGTCTGTGGCCTCCCTTCTTCAAGTAGTCCCAGAAATAATCTTACCTAGAGTTTGTATGTGATGGAAGAAAATATTAGCTTTTACAATTTCATTAATTTCTGTGTTTTATCATTTTGCTTACATTCCTATCATAGGTTTTTTACCATTATGTATGTATCAATGAGAATAAAGATATTGTCCTTTTACAGCTGTGTCAGTCCCTTGTTATTATGTACACCAGGTAGAGCCGTGTACCTAAACCCACATTTAGGTTCAGGTCCGGATTCAAGTCCAGAGGTTTAGGTTCAGTTTCGGACTTGTATATGTCTAAACCCATGGCATATACAAACTTGCATGTTGGCAACTTTGCAATGTTTTTTTGGGGGGGCAAAACTTTGGCCACATAACATGGAGGCCGACACTTGATGCCCGATGGCAATGTTTTCGTCATTTTGCAGCACAGATTTTGCAATCCATGGTAGGTTTTAGGTGGTTTGGAAAGAAAGGGGGTATGTGACTTTTTTTTGTAACAAGTCGGTTCTTGACTTTTGGGTTTTTTTGGACTTGAACCAAAACATTTTTATAAGTTTGTCAGGTTTTAATGACATGAATGTCAGGTCCTCAGCCTTTCTAAAAGCCACAAGTACTCCAGTTCAAAGACAGCAACTCTTCATAATCGTTTCCACCATTTTATTCCCATCATGAAACACAAAAGGCACTTATTCCACCACAGTACCCTCCAGATGATACCTGGAAAGTCGCTTGTGAGCTCACACCTCGGTCTTTCCTAGATCCTGTTAGTTGAGCGTTGAATACAGAAACACTCAAAATTAAACTACAAGAAATATTAGATCATCAGCTCCAGAAGTAACAAAAATATACGGCCTTTCACATAAAAACTCACTGGACAATTCCACGTCTCTACAAAAATATTTACAACACCAGCAGTAGATACTAGTAATGAACACTTATATGGCCTTACATCCCTATATCAGTTCATGATAGCCAAAATATATATACCAGTATATGATAAGAGTACTAGTATCTAGTTCTAATAACAGTACAGTAGTCATAATATGTATTTCTACATAACAGTTATTCACATGCAAGTATAAAAGAATGCAACATTAGCTCCGACTCCCAAAACACCATTTAAAAATACTGTTACAGTAGTAATGGAAAAATAGAATAGTTATACCACTAAATAACATCATACAATATACTGCATTATGCAGTAAACTCATCACTATATACGAGGCAACATGACATTGATCATTTATACCACAGTACTTTAGGGTAGTATTGACAGTATGGAGAGTCTACGTTGTAGTCAGTCAGTAGTAGGGCCGGGTAGTGTGTATTGTAGGCTATTAGGACCGGGTAGTTTCAATCCAGGGTTTATGTCCTGGTAGACAGAGAGTAGGGAGGGGGTGGAGGGTTTTCTGCTGTGTAGGCTGGTGGAGCTGTGGCCATCTGAAATACAAAAAACACAGTTACTGATGCAGAACAAAGGAGATATTTGTGACATATTTGGTGAACAACTGACAGACAGAGCTACATTTAAAGCTTTAAATATATATGAATCTTTATTGCATGTTCTTGCCCAGATGGGCTAAATGCACAAGAGGACATGCAGTATGCAAAACATGAGTATTGCATACTGGAATGCTACATGTATATTCTAATGCTAATTGCTAGGAATCTATACATTACAACAATACTATATACTACCTATCATCTACGGTTAGTTGCCCTTTCTTCTCTCTTTTTAAAACAATGCAACTAAATCCTTTCATTCTTCAGAAAAAGCATCGGGAGTTAAACTCTGCCATGTCAGTGCAAAGCACAGAAAAGTTCATGTTGGAAGTTGAAGTTGACTGACCGAGGTGAAGTCCTTTGCCTGGTACGGGTTCTGGTAGGGGGGCGGGGCTGAAGGCTGGGCGGGGTACGGGGCGGGGTATGGTGCCGTTTCCGTGGCGACAGTAGCGTGGTACGTGTTCCCCGCGCCGCCCTGCAACCGGACGTAGCCCTGGCGTTTGTTCCGCCCGCACAGCCAGCAGATCAGGATGATCACTTTCACAACCACGATCAGGATGATCAGTGCAATGCTGCAATAACAACAGTAGGAGTACGTCACTATAGTGTATGCAATTTTCAATTTTTCAATTTTATTAAGAACAGTCAACATAGCAGGTGTACGTAGTACTGAATTGTGTGGACTTTACATAAGTACAAGAGACGCACAAGGCGGCGCAATGCTGCAATAAAGGCAGGGTTATTTATTTAAGTTG